TCGGGGTTTGGCTTTGATTATTACCTAGGGAAACTTGATGAAATGCATTTTCTATTAGACTAGACGATATCGCTTCCCTCTCCCCGCACTGCATGGCCCGTGAGACTGGCTGGAGTGGGATTTTGAACTTTTCCGTCTTCAAGGTGACCCGGTCGTCAGGCCCTCTCGACCTTGTAACCTTGCTACCGTGGTAAAGCGAAAGAGTATCGAACCCGTTTCGGGGCAACATCTCCGACCCTAGGAACCTTGGTCTAGAACCTCACAGCCGTCCAGACTCTAGTCACTAGTAATAGTCTCAACGGCCGCCCATCCCAAGTCCGAGGCGTGGAGAATCAGTCCGAGAGATTGTGGGTGCCGTGCAGGTACAGATGAAAGCGTATTCCACGCTTCGTACGGATAGATAGGTACAAAACGAGAATTGTTTATAGACAAAACGGGATTATGGATGGCGAACGGATATGGCTCGGTTCGGATGAACTATGAGCCCTTTCCATCCGCACTTCTCGTCCCATTTCCCATGTGTCCCCCCATGCTCTCGGATCCCGGAACCTGGAAGCCTCGCAATGGCGAACTTTCAAGATGTGTGCTGAATCCTGCGAGTGGTTTCTTCATCGAGCCAGTTACGTACTGATCGAGGTTTGGCTCACGGGCGATCTTGGGTCATGATAGCCTATCTATCCGCTTACCTTTTATCCGAACACAGTCCGAATCGTCATCTCAAAGAACCATTGATCTCCCGGAGCCGGGGGAAACCAAGTTACACACCGTTGTAGGCTACGGGTTAACGTTGGCCACATGGCGACGGGAGTCAGTGGCCCGAGGCTCCAATGGACCTCACTCACAGTCTCACGCACACCTCTTCCCCCCCCCCCCCCCTTGGGAAACGAACGAGGGGAAATCCTTCCCGTTTGGAAAGTGGCTGAAATCCGGATGGCACAATAGATAAGCTTACCTGGGTAAGTTAGTGAATGCTGCGCTGGGCTGATGTCAGAAGAAGAGTGACAAGGGGCGGTTGGTATTGATGTGATGTGAAGTGATTTCACTGGCCCCTTATTCAATGAGCATCAATCAGCCGCTGCTGAGCGCGTAGCGGTCCATCTCTGACCATGGAATTGCCAAAGTGGTCAGAGGAGTTTCCGGTTTTCAGTCAGAATAGACGAGAACGCTGAGGATCTGGAGGTGAGCAAAAAGAAGCAAAGATTGTCTCTACTTCGCCCCTTTCACCAGTGAACAATCAGGCTCTCTGCGGCTGAAGGATTCGGATTGGGGGCCGTTGATTACTAGGCGCGAGGAGACATGTGGCCAAATTGTCTGTGCCTTTCGTATGGGCAACTCCGGGACTCAGCGGAATGATTTTCCCCCGTCTCGAATTCCAGCCTCAAACTAGAAACCAAAGTACCGTCAGAGCCCGAAGGAATGAGATATCGCACGACTGCATGGTCGTAGGCTCGCTCGCCCGCGAGACTAGAGTTGACGATGAAAGCCACAAGGTTTAGGGCGAACCTGGTCGTTCGCGCGGTGGGGAAGGGCCGGCGCTCAGTAAGCACCACCTGCGAGATGTACTGTATGGAGTGGTTGTGGCCCACCCCATCTTAATGTGGTTTCCCCTAAACTCGGAGGAGAGATTTGCGGGCTGGGGTTGCAGCGCAGGCTTTAAGCTCGTTCCAAGGAGGTAAACCGAAGCGAGAGACCATTGGGGAAAAAAAAAGGCCTTTCTGGCCCCCAACCCTGGGCGATATCCCATGTTTTCGGTCCTTGACTCCTTTTTCATAGCTCACGAGGAGGTTGGTTCTGTTGTGTTGTGCCCCTTGACAGACTAAGAGAGTTGTAGATCAGCTTCGTCGCCTTTCAGCAAGTGTTCTTTCCAGGGAACGAATTGATGAGCGAGAGGGCATCTTCGAGGTTTGTGCCGACGGCATAGTCCTCAGGCCTAGGCAGCCGCACATGGCCCCCTCCGGATATCTCGTCAACCGCCGTTGTCGTGATCAGCTGTACCTATACGGGCGTTGACATCTTGTTGGCTCTGGATCAAGCAAACTGCAAGCACACCAAGCCCTACCGACAACGCCACAACCGAACTCTTAAAGCCAAACCCATGCGGGCTCTATCACACTTTAGGCTTGGCTGGTATCTTTGTTCAAGTCCCTTGGTCGCGGCATAGGCCTTATTTGTCAATGTCTTCTTCATAAGCGTTGCCTGCCTGTCCAATGGCCGGTCTTTACCCCCGAACGCCCCACGCGACTTCCCAGACCGATGGCTGTGTCAGCGACATGGGTAGATCAACAAACGGGCTGAAAATGTCTCTGAGCCAACGAGCTTTCAAGTCGTCCGTGGAGGCAGAACGAAGGGACCCTTTGCCTTGTAGGTTCTTCCGGGGGTCACGCTACTGCAAGTCAGGTTGCTGCGGTTGAGCTTCCCGACTTGGGATTGAAATGCAACTGAGCATCACGGAAGCCCGGTTCAATACATCCCCGCCGGAAAACTGCATGGGGCTGATGGTGATAAACCCAGCGATCCCCGAGTCTGAGCGGCAACCAACTCCTTTGCGTCTCCTTATTTTGCGCGTGTCGACTTTCCACCACGACTATTAGGTCCCGGCCTATCGAGATTACCGAGTCCCTCTTGCGAAGTTGAATCGCGTTCAGCAAGAACTCAGACTTTTCCTAGGATAGTCTTGGCGGTCGTTCGCCGTAGCCGTCTACGTTCACCGGCTTCCATGTGGCATTCTTGTCAATAATGGCGAGATCCTTTGGAATTCTCTTGGGGGTATTGCTCGTCTTGTCCTCCCCAGTATCGTGTCTTACGGCATGGTGGACGGAGCTGAGCCCCCATCTGGCGTTGCAAGACCCTGCGACGGGCGACATCCGGTACACCGCTTGCAATAGTAACTCCACGCCCATCTTGCCAACAGATGGGCTCAACATCTTTCTTCTCCAGAGAAAGCCGAGACTTGGCACCTCTATTGCCGCTGCTGGATGGTACGATGTGCCGAAGAAGACGACAATTGTAAGTCTCTTCTGGCTTCACAATGTGAAACGTCGCAACTGACCTCTCCATTCAGGCCTCGATATTCTACCAGGCCGAGGACAACTCCATTGTGAACGGCTACTTCACCTGCAACTTCGATACAGGCCATTACGCCATCAAGGGCGAGTACGTCATCTCCGCAACGGCCGGACTCGACTCCATACACAACCAGACCGGCTTAGCCGTCGAGCTACTGGGTGCGGATGACGGGTATCGTGTCTTCTTCCACGATGAAGCAAAGACAGTCAACGTTTTATCGTACACAACCAAGACCGACTGGAAATTGCAGGGGCCAATTTCGCAGGACCCCGTAGGAGGAATGGCCTTGACATCGGTACACTCGGGGCAGTTCAACATGTCTGTTGTCTTTCCCAGAGACTCGGAGAATATTGAAATATCGAGGTTTTTCAAGGACGAGACGTGGCATCTTGGTCCGTTTTCCCCATTGTTGTTGTGAGTGATTTACATGCTGACCATCGCAAAGCTACACTGCCTCGCCCACTCCTGGGGAACGCAAATGAATCGACGAAAGCAGCCGATATCCACCTCGATTCGACGCTTACTCCGAACTTCACCATGCCGGCTTTCGCAAGTAATCTGACTTCGCTAGGCGCAACGGTGGATAAGGCATATGTACGCAGCATCTTCTACCTGGGATCCGACGCGAAGCTGCATCAAATGTCGAACATCGATTGGCAGTGGAAGCTTATGCCCGACCAGGATGCGCGCCTCTGGCCTGCTGCGGATGTTGCGAGTGGCTCTTTCGCGACAACAAGCAACTTTGACACTAGCGAAGCGTGGATATGGTACCAGTCAAACGGTAGCCTGGTTCAGTTATACCATGCTGAAGATGGTCTTTGGAAACAAGCCGTGGTAGTCCCCAGCTTCAACGCAACAAAGGCTGTCGAAGAGGAGCCCCAGGGAACAGCAACACCTTCAGCTTCATCGACGGCCACAGCGAAACCAGTTGTCTTATCAACAGGAGCTAAGGCTGGCATAGGGATCGGCGTTTCTTGTGGGGTTGTTGCGCTTGCTGGAGGTATCATCCTCCTTCTAGTGCGGAGAAGGCGGCAACGGGCAGCCGAGATCGCCGAGGCAGCTCGTCTGAAGGAAGCCGAAGCTGTTGCTCAAATGGGACCGTACGGCGAAGGCGGAGTGGGCCCATATACGGAATTCGGAAACTTGACGTGGGGTCCCGAGACGCCGAATGAGAAACACGGCACCGAAATACTCGAGGCAGATGCGGTGGATACGACCGCACCGCAAGAACTAGCCAATGGAGGCGAAAGATACGAGCTCGTTGGCGAGGGCCATTGGAGAGAAATGGACGCAACAGGACAAAATAAAGCGAGAAGAAGTATCGGAGGCTGGAGAGAGGCGCAAGAAGCGGCAACAAAGAAGTAACGAAGCCGTGAATAATGAAGCCACGTAGTGATTAACGACCATGATGATTAAAGATATTATCGAATCGCGCCAAAGGCACTTGCCCGAGGGCAGCTGCAGGTCCAGTGATATTGTGTCAGGGCGTGTCAAATATACATCGATTTTAGCAAGTCGTCTCTCCCTGTCCAATTTGATTGCTGCCGGCTTAGACGACCAAACGATCCCTGCGTGACTCTGGGAGTACCCGAACACTTGGCCATGTGTCTCGTGGTGCGCAAGCTGGGGCATGAATAATTGAGAAGGTATGCGAACTTGCTAAGATTGGCATCGAGTCGGAAGACCTGAAGTATGTCGAGCTCGATATAGTGAGAGAGTGAACTTCAGTACTCGTAATGATATTCACACAACTCGGGTCCCTTGGGTGCAGCGAACCATGGCGAGCGCATGATGGTCGACGTCCGGGGGATTCAGAGCTTCAGATGGAACTAGAGTATCATGTTCCAACAGTGACTAGTGCCAAGTCAAGACGAAGCTCGCTGCTACCGGAGAAGGGTGGTGTTCAAGGCTGAAGTCGTCCCGAAAAGGCAGAGATGGAATTTGTGGTGTATGAAGACCAGGTCATGTCTCAAGATGGTATGGGAGGCTACTCCATATCGGAGCATCGCGTGGACGGCCCGGGTGATGGCATGTCTCTCTCAAGGGTCTTCCGGGACGACGGGACGGTCCAATCAGGGATGGCTGTTCCGGCATGTCTCCAAGGTCCGAATTGAGGGATTGAGGGTAGGAAGCGGGCGAATCAAAGGCGACCTCTCTTGGCTTCCCTTCAGAGTGAGCTTTGGGTGGAAGACTGGGCGAGCATATTCGTAACTACCAGCTAGTCAGACTGTGGAAGTCCTTGGGCGTGAGTGATGGGTCGGTCCTGACGATCAGGCTGTGACTGGAGCAGCGATATCCTGGCACAGTCGGTGAGAGCCGAACCTAAGCCTAACTGCGGAGAATTGACGGGAACTATTTGACGACACATGGCTTAGACTGTTCAGTTGCCGAAGTTTTCCTCTGCGGTCACGGTGTTGATTGGGCGGTAGCTGTTCCCGGTTGTTCATTTGCGATGGAGGTCAAGCCTCGAGAAGTTGGTTGTGCTCAATGTAAGGCAGCTCGCAGTTTGCGAGACGAACGGATGCGACGTGATGATGGAAAGTGTCTAGTTGAACTGGGAACATTAGGCATAGAACAGGATGAATTTTTGTTCTAGGGAGAAGGCCCGGCAGTTGTCGGGAATCCATAAGTGGCATCGCATGGGACGGCAAGCACGAATTGCAAGCGATTCTTTCTGTCTTTACAGCTGGTGTCCAAGGAATGTCTTGGCGTAAGAAGGAGAAGCAAAAGTGGGCAGAGGGCGGGGCAGAGCCGACAGAAAGGTCAAGGTAAGGTGAATGGTGAAATGCGGCAATGCAGTACATACGGAGTAGTGGAAGGGAAGGAGCGACGGCCGGGGTAGATGCAGGATTGCGTCAGTGCCTTTTCTGGCGATGAGTTTTCAGAGCAGGTGCGAATGTGACGGGGCTGGGCACAGCGGATGGAGGGGGAAAGAGGAGGGGGAGGGGAATGGTCCGCAGGGAAGGTGGGAGGGGAGACACTGGCTGGACGGTACTGCCAAATGCAGGGAAGGCGCGAGCAGCTGTCAAGTTACTGTGTAGACGGAGTCGTCAAGAGCTTTCCCGTCCCCTCTTGCCTTTTGGAAATCCAGAGTGTGCTTGTGACAGTGACATGGTGACTAGTGACGATGACTGGTGGATAGAGGATGGGAAAGAATGATTGGAAAGAAGGAGCGAGAAAAGTTGGACAACAGCCAGTCTAAGCTCCACTTTCCCATCGTCTTAGCTTCGTCTTCCCGCCATCCTTCCACAATTAAGAGCTTTTCCTAACTCTCGCCGTCCCCTGTTTCAACCGGACTTCCCAAGCAATAGCAGAGATACAATATGATCTAAAATCAGGTCTTGGAGGTTCTCAAGCCAACTTCATGCGTACTTTGGCGGCGGACTTGCCAGGGACACAGAGCTCCATCATCCTAAACTTGGGGTGTCATCGAGAGACACGATGGAACGCTGGTGGAAGCAGCCGGACCAGGCTGTCTGTGTGCAATAAAGAGACACCTCGAGGACTGGAAGTGACGGCCTCGACTGGCGTGTCTTCTATCTCGCCTGCCGTACCTTACGGTATCTTAAAGTAAGTAAAGCAAGGTTTCTCGGTTATGAGAGAAGGGCGAGGCAGGAGTCGAGGCCATTTCTATCACATCGATACTTTCCTTACGTACCCAGATTTGACTCCTTCCACAACGGCCACTCCGGAACATCTAAGCTTCCTCGGGCGGACACTCAAGCTGTAGAAGAGATGCGGGATATCAAGATGCCTCTCGCTGTACGGAGTGGTAAAGTATACTTCCTGCAACCAGCCTGCGAGTCACAAGTCAAGCAGGCAGGCAGTCATTGGGCACCAGAGATCGGTGAGAAACCAGGCGCCCATTTGCCCTCTTCTTGTCAGCCCAATGAATGCCCAGGAAGCAACTCCTCAGCTTAGCTGCACCACTGCCACTGCCAGCGCCCAAGTGGATGCCTCCCGATGCAATCAAGTGGATGATTGACGACTTGACTGAATGAGAAGACGGAACAAGTCCCAAGATCGCCTTTCTCTGCATCTTCCATGCCTTTCCTTCGGCTTACCATCAGCTGCCCGTCATCAATCACCATCTGCTCCGAACCTTACCTTACCAATATGCTTCGCCCGTCTCCAGCTGCAAGTCGTAACCTATCGACATCTTTCCGTTTGCTTTTTGTTGGCCCAGCCCAACGTAGCGTAGCCTGCATCGTTGATTCCCGGATCGCTGGAGCCTTGTTCCATTTTCCCCATCTTCTTCCGTTTCTACCTTATTTGACTGGGCATTCTCGACCATCGTCAAGGGCTCGCGATAGGGCATCCATTGTTAACGCCGCACATGCAACTCCAAACACAAAGTTTGACATCAGAATATCATAGTCTGTAGAATACTGCCGTCCGCAAACTTTCAAATCCCAAATTCGGCCCAAATTGCCCTAAATTAAATGTATACACGCGAGTCCTAACAGGGCCTCGACACCCTCCGTTCTCTTTGCGACGGCATCCCTACCGTCCCGCTTCCCGCAGCAACATAGACAAAACGTCGGGAATACCCCTGCTCAGTGACAGCGGTTCACCGCGCGGCGCTTGCCCACAGCTGGGACTGGCCTCGACTCGAACTTGACAGACCTCGACCGCTCCCGCTATGTGAAATAAGCCTGTGGTGAGCAAGAACGGCCTTCGTCTCTTGAGCCGGCCAACCCCTCCCATTTCCATTGCTCTCTCCCGTCCCTCTCTTTTCCCCCTCCACTCCCAGTCCCCATCCACCAAGGCCCGAGAGAGATCCCCCACGAACCTCCAAGGACCACACACATACAGCCTGCTGGTGCCGCCCTATATCACCTGTCGGCTGTCTTAATTACATACCACCTTGCCTACTTGCCTACCTACGTCCTACATACATACATACCCGGCTCTCCTACTGTGGTATGACGACGTTGCTCCTACTCTGACTCTTTTCCCTCTCACCTCTCTCTCTCTCTTTCTCACTCACTCACCCCTTCTCTTTACCCCCTCCTCCCCAGCCGGCGCAGCTCTAGGCTCGGCCTCAGATTAAAGTACCTCTTCCACTACCATCCGTCGTGCGTCGCTCAGTCCCAGCGCTTCAATACACGTTTGGTTCATCCTCTTTCCAGCGTCGCCTTTTCTGTTTGCGCAGGATCTTGGTGTATCGTCTTCTCTAGTGTCGGTAACGCTCACGCTATCACCTGCGCTACACAATCACCACTACACCGGCTTACTACCCCGCCATCCATCCCACCTGTTCATATAACCTCACAAACAAACACTCACGGACGCCTATCCGTCACACCTCTCCTAAACCGAATAGCCGTTTGCGTTTCGCCAACAAAACATGGCTCACCGGTCCAACGACTTTGAGGAGCGTTTCTACGACGCCCCCCGCCGCCAGCGCGCCGAGAGCCGGGTTGCTTTCGACGAAGTTGATGTTCGTGTTAGGGAGCGCGAGCGTGAGCGAGAAGGTGACCGCCTCCGCTTCCTGCGCGATGAGCGTCCTCCCGAAGCCGGAGCCCTTGTTCTGAGCCGCAGAGAGGTTGAATCAAGAGAGCTGTCACGGCCTCGCGCCCGCAGCCCTAGCCCTGTTTACCGCGAGCGGGTTGTACGCAGAGCCCGCAGCTTGACACCTCCGCACGTTCATCATGAGCAAGAGCTCGAGCGCTCCCGAGTTCGCGTCACCGAGCGCGAGCGAGAGATTCGCAGTCCATCCCGCGGCCCTCCTCCGGAGATGATCCGCGCTCGATACGTTGAGAGGCAGCGCTCACCCTCTCCTCCTCCTCCCCCAGCCAGAGAACGCAGCCGCGTTGGCGTGCGCATCGTCGAGCGTGAGAGGGAAAGAGAGCGGGTTCCCTCCCCCTCGCCCTCACCGCCACCACCACCGCCTCAACCTCAGGTCATTCGTGGCCCCACGATCGAAAGAGAAGTCATTACGCACTACAGAGACATCGATCATGGTGAGTACAAGGACAAACTGCAGGAAATAAGACCCCCGCGAGGTCTAATGCATCCAGGTGTTACCCGCGTGCCCAGCCCGCCGCCTCCCCCTCGTCCCGCTCCTCGCCCCAAGACCCGCACCGAGGAGCGTGAGTTAGATATCGACATCACCACCTCCCGCAGAGGGACCGACATTGACATTCACCGCTCGCAAAGCCGCCATCGATCTCCTAGTAGGGAACGCAGATCCCCCGCTTTCCAGGACAGCAGAGAACTCGTCGTGAGTACCGACCGTCTCCGCATCGACGACCGTCATTACCACAGCGGGTCACGCCGTAGAGCTCACTCTGCGGCCGCACGCACACCCGTCGATGAGGAAGCCGAGTACATCACCTCCAAGATCGACTCACGCGGCAAGATGGGCGAGGCTTGGAACGGTGCCACCAAAGACTGGTCCATTGTCGATGTCCCGCCCGGTACCGAGCGTGTCCGTATGGATGGCGTTGGTGGTGGCTCTGCCGAGGTCACTTGGCAGCGTTACAACGGTGTGAGGCGGGCACAGTTCATTCCCGAACGGGACGGCGCTCCCATTTCGGCGCCGGCCCCACTTCCCGCCGAACCCTCACCACGAGAGTCCCGAGACCGCCTCAGCCTCCAAGTTTATGACCGTGAGACTGAGATCGAAATTGAGAAGACAAAGGACCGCGCCCCGCGCCGCGGACCTCCATCAAAGCGCAACGAGATGTGGACCGAGATCACAAAGGACCTGGTCATTCGTGATGCCATTATTCAGCTTGGATATGATTTCGAGGAGACTGAATACTTTTTCTACATTATGCAATATCTGAAATACGTAAGTTTTTTTTGCCTCTGATGTTAATACGGTCAGATTACTCACCAAATACAGGACGATGTGCTTGAATTGGTGCAGGTATCTGACGATATCCGCCGCTTCCGCAAGCAGCGCGTCCGCGAATATGAGAGGGAGTGGGTGCATGATGACTGGGACCGCCGGTCTTCTCATCACCATCACCACCGCGGACCAAGCAGCAAGTACGACGATGAGCGAATCTACGAGCGTGAGGTCGTCTACGACAGTCAGCGTCCCCGACGTTATTAAGCATTGCATAAACACAGCGCAAGTGAGCCCAAGGAACATACAAATCGAATACCCAGCCGACATGCGGCAACTTTGAGGGGGGCCCGAGACAGGCACGCCTTACATTTGGATTCGGACTACAGAACATATCATTTTCGGGATGGGATGTGCTGCATTAGAGAAACCGGATCTGCCGGGCGGGCAAATGTGTGTCTTTTTACTTCACTTTTTCCCACTCAACATGTGGGGTTTCTGCCTAGCACCATGTGTAACGATTTATGAATACAACATAGCGGCGGAGAAATAGGGCGGAGTTTAGATTGTATTAGGAGCAAATAACGAACTTATGACTCGAATCCTCTTGACTTTGGCTGCTTCAGTGACTGAAACCTCGCGTTCGATGGTCTCTGGCGCTTCTTGTGGATGTATCTGACTGGCCCCGCGCAACCTCCCCGTCTGCAGGGCCCGGAGTAGACAAGACGAGCTTGATCAAGTTGAGGAGAGCCCGTTGTTGTTTCATCTGGTCAAAACGCCTGAAGCCGGTTTCTCATGTCTCCCGACTTTTGGAGATGGACTGTCGTCAAGGCCTCAGTCAACAACCATCCCTCTCATGGTCTGGATCTAAGGCAATCTGCTACTTCCATGTCCATACACGCAGTATATCGACATGTCTAAAGTCAAGCAGGCAGAAAGAGTGACCCGGTGTCAATTAAATGCCGACTTGACG